GCAATTAATAACAATATACCTTTCCATATTTTCTGGAGTCATATTGGCAGGGCCGGATTATGGTCATAATTTAAGGGGGGCTATTACTTTTATTGAGGCCTTTTCACCTAAAACAATTTATTAATTTGTAATAAATATAAATTAAAATAAGTATAGCATTGTTTATAAGTATAACATTTTATTCTTATATCATATTATACATTTTTCGGCATATACAATAAAAAAAATATACACATATACAGTGGTCGCCGCTTATTATAATCACGGTTAATGTTATCAAACGTTTATTGTTATCGAAAAGTATAAGTACGGGCCGAATGTATACTTATATGTGTAAATTATGTCGGCTATTGTAATCAATACGCCGCATAATATTATCAGTTTGAGGTCATAAAATCATCATTATGTAGTTATTAGATAAAGAAAATAATGTCTAAGTTTTCGTCGAATAGCTCATAATAAAGATAAAAATGTCTATACACATTAATATCATTTTTGTTCTTACACCATTCAGACAGTACCGTCGCTGCCCGTCGACCAGTATCGCGTTTGTATGCACCCGTGTCGTGTGTGCGTAAAAATGAGTGAAAAAAGAAAAAGAAATGACCTAACAATTTATGATAAATTGTCAATATTACAAAGTTACGACAATTTACCAAAAATGGGACAGCGAGAAGCAGCTATAAAGCTACAAATTTCCCAACCGTTATTGTGTAAATTATTAAAAAAACGAGTTGAAATAGAAAATTCAGCAACACTTAATAAAAATCCAAACATAAAGAGGATACGCAGTGGGAAAGAAGAACAGGTTGAATCAGCATTATTATTATGGTTTATTAATGTTAGAAAAAATGATGCACGCATTAATGGTCCGATATTGCGTCAAAAAGCTGAAGAACTTGCAAAAAAAATTGGTATAGAAAATTTTATTGCCTCAGAAGGATGGTTTCATCGCTGGAAGAAACGAGAAAATATTGTTTACAAACGAACGTACGGAGAACAAAAAGACGCGGATTTCTCGGCAGCAGAAAATTGGTTAAAAACTGAATGGCCAAAAATTATTTCAGAATATACGCCCGACAATGTTTATAATGCTGATGAAACCGGGTTATTTTATCGCGCCTTGCCTGAGCATTCTTACTTATTCAAAAATGAAAACGCAAAAGGCTGTAAGATATCAAAAGAGCGCATCACTGTCCTATGTTGTGCGAGTATGTCAGGTAAAAAACAAAAACTTTTGGTTATAGGGAAAAGTAAAAATCCTCGTTGTTTTAAATCTGTAAAATGTTTACCAGTTGATTATTACGCCAACACAAATGCTTGGATGACATCAGTTATTTTTAACGAATGGTTAATAAAGTGGGATAAACAATTAAATAATAAAACCGTTTTACTTATTGACAACTGTCCTGCACACGTGGTTAGTGTATCTTTAAAACACATTAGAATCATATTTTTGCCAGCAAATACAACATCATTAATACAACCATGTGACCAAGGAATAATAAAAACCTTGAAATCATATTATCGCAAACAAATGCGGACAAGAATAATAGACAATATAGAAAATACAAATGATCAAGAAAAATTGTCCGCTAATGAATTAGCAAAACAAACCAACCTCTTAGATGCATTACATCTTATAACAATGGCTTGGGACCAAGTGACAGATAAAACAATACGAAATTGTTTTAAACATGGAGGTTTTGCAGAAAGTGTCGAGGGGGAGGAAGAAGAAGAATATGAAGAAGTAGACTTAGATTTTGAAAATTGGTTGAAAATCGATGAAAATATACCTACTACATCAAATTTTACTGAAGAAGATATTGTACATGCTTTATCACAAACAAATGAACCTGGAGAAATTGAAAATGAAGAAACAGATACTGAAAAACCTCCAAGTTCTTCGGAAATGAGAGAGGCTCTACGAGTATTACGAAGGGGAGTGCAACAACATTCATCAAATTTTGAATTACAATACAAATACGAACATTTTATCAATGATCTTTTAACGGTAAAAAAAAAACAGACATCGATAAAAAAATATTGTTCAATTTAATGGTAGTACCTACATAATATATTATATTTATTTACATTTTATTTTTTTTTTAAATTTTAAATTACCAATTCATACCTACATATGTACTTTAATTAGAAATAAATAATAATAAATAAAATAATTATACTTTTAATAACTATGTTTAAGAATAATGATCATAAAATTTGATGCAACACTAAATTGTTATTTTTTTCGTTTAGTATTATCAATCGGATTATGTTATCAGTTATGTCCCGTACCAAAGTGATTACATTAAGCGGCGACTACTGTATTTTTAATATTATATAATATTATGTTTGAAAAACTTTTTCCTGGATTTTTCCTGGGCAAATTGTCTTATAATATTTTCAAATGAAATATTCATAGTCAATTCACACTCTATTGAAAGAATTGATAGAGATGTCAGTCTTGATTCACCCATCATACAACGATATTTATTTTTAATTATTGTTAGTGCAGAAAAAGATCGTTCACTTTCACAGTTAGTAACTGGTATACTTAAAAAAATTCGGAACGCTACATAAATATGTGGAAAAACGCCCGAGAGATTATCTTCAACAATCATTTGTAACATGTTAATTGGGTTTTTTATTAATTTATTATCTTCCTTGACTTTAACCATACCAATGAATTGTTTCAATTCGTCGTATAGACTTTCTTCTAAATCACGAGAGTAAACTTTGACTAAATTATTTACGGATTTTTTCAATAAATTATCATCAATCACGTCCAAGCGAGTCAAAAATCCAAAAAGGTTTGTTATATTGTCATAAGCTGAGCTACGTTTTTTTAATTCGGTTTGCAATTTATCAATGATAACAAAAAAAGTGTTGACTCTAAACGTATCTCTACCTTTTAAACTCTCATGACCTGTAGTACCATCCGAATATTTTTTAATAATTTTACGTTTGTTTTTTCCTCCATTAGACCATTCTTTATTAACTGAGATACTCAATATTTTTGCTTCATCTTCAATCGCGTCAAAATCATTTCTGAGTTCATCAACAAATGTTATCAACGATTGTAGCATACTATTACCAGTAACCATATCAATTTCAATTCTTTGTAAATAAACACTCGTAGCATTGAATCTGCCTAAAACACGTTTCCAAAAAATAGTCATAAAAGCTATTTCTAATTTTATTAACTTTTTCTTAATTGAATTGGCATCATGACGAGTGTCAGCATTTTCATTCATATCTTTAGAAATGTCAGATAACGTATTATATATCACATCATAATTATCAGCTAATGCTTCAATAGCATTATTACGACAAGACCACCGTGTACTGGAGAGACTTTTTAAAGTCTTACTACTTTTTTTACTGTTTCTTAATAATACATCCCATCTGTGCGTAGAGGCTGCAAAAAACGCATATAATTTTTGAAGAATTGAAAAAAAATTGATTGCTTCTAAACATTCTTTTGCACTGCAATCTCCAACTAAATTTAAAGAATGTGCGACACATGGGACATAAAATGCTAAATCATTTAGATCTTTAATTTAAGCCTGTAGTCCATGATATCTTCCAGACATTTTGGCAGCATTATCATACGTTTTCGCACGACAGTTGGCAATATCGATACCACTTCGTTTGAGAAATTCTAAGACAGTCGTAGCTAGAGCTTCGCCAGTATGGCTATGAAAAGAAACAAAGCCAAGAAATCTTTCATGTACCATACCATTCAAACAATAACGTATGATTATCGACAGCTGATCAATATGGGCAAGATCTGGAGTTGAATCAACGACAATACCAAAATACTTAGATTTAATAATTTCATCGACAATGTGATCAAACACTTTTAAAGACATGATACCAATAAGTTCCTCACAGATAGTTTTTGATATGTAAGACACACTGCCCCTGCCTTTGTTACCATAATTTTCTATGTGTGCTTTCAATACAGGATCAAATTTAGCAATCAACTCAAGTATTCCTAAATAATTACCATTATCCGTAACTCCAATCACTTCATGACTACCTCGAAATGCAAGACCTCGTGTCGAAAGAAAACGAATAGCTTCAACAACGCGTTTTAAAATATCGATCCAATAATTTTCTTCTACTTCTAATTGTTTCGTTAACTGTTTATTAATATTTGTTTTATTATTCAAACGATGAAGCCATTTCATCGTGCATACCTGGTGTACAGAACTGTTTTCATGACCACTAATTCTTTCATCGCCCTTCTTCCAATTTGAAAATCCATTTTTTACAAAAGGATTCATTGAACTATTACTATTGAATAACATACAGACAAAACAAAATACGTTCCCTGTTGATTCAGAGTACATCAACCATAATCGTTCGTGTTTCTCTCCATTCACCAAAGTTCGTATAAAAAAATTACAAGAAAAATACCTTTTTTGGTTTTTATAATCTCGTAAGGAAGCTGAAAATCCGTTGTTTTTATTTTGAAAAAATGTCGGTCCTAATTGTATACATTTTTCTCGGACGGTTTCACTCATTGACGGCCACAATGCAGGATCATTATTTATTTCCAACTCCGTCAATATTTTCTATTTATATGATATTAAATAGTATTAACTATTAATACTTAAAATAAATATTTTAATTTAATTATGTTAAATTTACTTTATCAGTGTTTGTATCAATTTCGCTGACGGTGTTTTTCATTTTTTGCTCAAATGCAGGATTTTCAATTGGTCGAAAGAAATTTGACAATTTAGGAATTTTGGCTTCGTACTCATTTCTAATTTTCAGGGCTCTTCGTTTTGAAGCACCAGATTCATGTTTTCGGAAAGACATGATTATTAAATCACACTTGATAGATAAATTCAATAATTTTATAACGTTTTAAAAGGGGCTTTAAATATTATATGATAATAAAGTAATAACAATCGGAAATCTCAAGCTAGCGTCTGCGGTCTAAGCTAACATAATCAGTACTGCACCTACGGGCTGCAAAAGTACGTGTTTGTCGTTCATCGAACGTGTAATGTACTAGGTTTTTAAAATAAATTTAACTGATTATATTTATCGCGTTGACGGATCGGCCGGAAACACGTTCGATAACGACGATAACGAGTTACAATAAGAAGCGACGACCATTATACCTACAATAAAATTGGGTCTTGTGTGTCGGTAATGAAGTATTCAAGTCCATAGTCCATTTTCATATGACATAAATTAAAAATTAAGTTATAATAATATTTTGAAAAAAAAATGAGTTGACACACTGTGGCCCCTTTAAACTTGCGGCCCGGGGCTATAGCCCCCCCTAGCCCCCCCCCCCTTGATCCAGCCCTGCATATTGGTTCTTTTTTCACTTAATATCATTTTATATGTACTAAAGGATCGTTCCACGTCCACAGACGTTATAGGTGCATATTTCATGCAAGAAGTCATCATAGGTATAAAATTTTGAGGTAGTAAACTTCCTTCTTTTCCAGATAAAACATCTGATATCTGTATTAATATTTTAAAGCCACCATTTTTGTTTATTAAATCACAAACTTTCTCTTTAATAATTCTTCCATTATTTCCAGATACCATTTCCATGTTTAAAATAGTTTCATCAACAATTTTGGTCGCATCAAACAAAGATAAATTAGATGACTCAATTTTTTAATGCTTTTAACAAGAATAAAAAAATTAGTTTTAATATATGTAAGGTCAGTTTTAACAGAGTCTAACTTAAGCATATCTTCACATTTTTTTATACTGACCACATTTTTTTCTTTCAATTTTTCAATGATAATTATTTTTAGTTGTTCAAAATTATCAGCAATAAAGGTGGCTGCTTTGATCCAAGTACCCTACCTAGTGAGTATAGGTTCTGGTGGTAAGGCTACATTTGGCAAGACATTTTTGTATACTTCTACACGATGAGGCGCTTTCAAGAACACTTTTTTTAAATTATTTACCAGTGTATTAACATTTGGAAATAATTCTCTCACTTTTTCAGCTATTCTTTGAAGCATATGCGCTAGGCATGTGACATGTATCATGTTGGGGAAAAATACATTTAATGTCTTACCTGCCTTTATCATGTAGGGGGCTGCATCTGATAATAACAGCAAAACTTTTTCGTCATTACCACCACTAGGCCACAAAATTCTTAAGCCATCATTGATGAAACGTGAAATAGTATAATGATTTGATTTTTATAGTTTTTTACTAGCAATTAAAAAGGGATTTCAAGAGTTTTCACTACTTAACGCACCTATTAAAAGATTAGCTATGTAGTTACCATTAATATCTGTTGTTTCATCCACAATTAAAAAAATATAGGAGTCCCCAATTTGTTCTCTTATATTTTCAATTGTTTTATTATAACATGGCTCGAGATAAGATTTTCGAAGTAAACTCTCGTCTGGTATATGTTGATTCGTGTATTTTTGCAAGAAATCTCTTAATTGCGGAACTTGAAGTTTAAACCATGGTATATTGGCAGCTACTAAGCTCAAACAGAGATATTCGTTGAAGTTATTGGTTTTTGATTTGTATACATTTCCTAATAGCATTTGTTTTTTATTATTTAAGGTTCGTTTCAATGAATCTGCATGAATTTATGTATTAACGTGTTGTGTAATTTGGAATTTTTTATTACACGGTACTTGTCGATCACATACTTGTCAGTAAATAACTTTTCCATCAGTTGTAAACACAATAGTGTCTTTGTTATATGGTTCAATCCATTGATTTATCAAACACTTAGTAATTGTTCGTATTTTAGACATATTTTCAAAATGTTTTTAATTTACACTAAAGACAAGAAATAAAAATATTAAACAACAACTTCACTAAACAGTAAACAAAACGTGATAGCCGATAGGTTTTAAGTACACTATATAGTACAGTAGTACGTGAAACGGCAAAATGTCGCGAATCTAAATCAGTATACATATTACTTTTCAAATTTGCAGTGTAGCCAATAAATAAATGCTAAATTTTTATATCACAGAAGTAACTTTAAAAGTAATTTAATTTGTCAGATAATAGTTTATTAACATTGTATCAAACTAGAGAAGATAAAATTCTATACTGTGTAGAGTGTAGACGGTAATTTTTTTCGCCAGTATAGCAATTACAGTTTCCAAAATAAAAACATGAGATAATTTGATTATCTACTAAGATTATAAAAAATAAGCACATTATATGCACTTATTAAAAAATATTCCTCAACCTTCCAAATATGCCATTATATGCAAAATTAAATTTAGTCTATGGAATCAGTTGGGTCTGAATCGCCCACATTTCAAACTCTCGTTTAAGTGCATACACTCAGTATGAACATGCAATTGCATACAATTCCGGTCTCTAGTAATCACCCTCCGTTATCCCCGACTCGTTTAATGTGCTAAAAAATTCTTCTTTCGGTGGGGAGACTTGGCTCGTCCAACTTATCCCAGCCATCCGAATACTAATGACTAGTGGCATATCCCAGACATCAAAATATTTCGCTATCTCGCGTTAAATGGTTCTTAGGTAGAGTATCCAACTTTGATGCCATAAACCTACACGTGTCTACAAATCGTATGGTAAACGTATCACTGATATATTTTGAAAAAGAAACGAATTTTTCTTCACTATTAGCAATAACTTTTATACTATTAGTGTCATAGCCTAATTCAGTTACAATAAAGTGGGTGTCGTAATTAGATAAATTATGAAAAAAACGGGGAATAAATTTTGGTTATTTTAATTTGAAATTACATCGAGAGCATAACGATTGTCTAAATCTCCCAGTAAGGTGACAATGATAGTTCGGTTTCAACCGTTATAGTGTTCGGACGTGCGTGGCGTATCGTATTCGTTATCTGTCTGCTCATTAGTAATTGAACCAGTATTATCGTATTAATAATACCTATTCAAGCTGCGTCTCTGTATACTTTAAACTTTAAACTCGGAGTGTTTTGTTTTTAAATGCCTAACCAACTTAGCAGGTTTCATTGCTTCATTGGAAAGTATTTAGTAACACAAAACACATTGTGGTTTTTGTTCAATGTCTGTACCTGCTTGCACAAATCCCAGGTTTAAATATTCATCACAATATTTACGTTTTTTGGCTTTATTGACACTAGGACTAGATTTTGAGCAAGATGGCTTGTCAAGGTCAGGTGGGACAAGGGTCTGTCTGCCGCCTCCATTAGTTTCAATCGGCACTTCAGTTGCACGTACAATACCCGTTTTTAACCAACGATACATAGCTGATAATCTGAGTAATCAGTGATTACTAAAGACTAACACTCAATTTTTTATTATTATACTGTAAATTTACTATATAATAATATATTGTAGGACATAAGTCATTAACAACACAATATTCCGCGACGCACAGTGGTATCAAATAAGTATGTAGCTGGCCAAAAGTAAAAATTTTTCCATTGAGTTAACAACATATAACTATATATGTGTGTTTAGTAGTACCTATAGATAAAGTTAATGACTTTATAATCGACAGTTAGAATCATACCTCTTGACATTAGCTCAATAACATCATTTAAACTGCTGACTTTAACGAGAAAAGTAGTCAGACACGTGGTATTTAAAAATTATTTTTTTTTGGTATCTCGTTTAATTTAAATTAATTACTGTATTGTAATCAAAATGGATGATATTCAAGGTAAGTTTTCAATTATATTATATGTTTTTTAATCCGAATTTTTGTGATTAAATTATGTATTAGTAAAAATATGCTAATATTTTTTATTTTTCAAAAGGGTGGTAATAATTTTGGGGAGTTCTTGGAGGTTCGATTTTTTTTTTCTTTAAGCCAAATACATTAGTATTTAAATAAGCTATCGATTATTTGCCCAAATTTGCCCAAAATTGAAATATTAGTTTTATTCTGTTTAGATGTAAGTAATGATCACGATACGAGAACTGTAACAAATCGTTGTTTGTTCGAATTTCTCACAAATGGAGGATTTATGTTACATAAAAGTTCTGAAACTGCACGAAATGCATTGATTATTTATTTAAGACATAAGCTAGGCGATAAATGTAATTTGGAAAATGAAGAATTTGAAAAATCGATTAAAGGAAAAATAGAAGAATTTTGTAGTACTTTGCATAAAAAATGGAAGGAATCCAATCGCTGTACTAAAACATTTGTAGTTAAAAATGAAAACTGGTTACAATTATATTTTAATATTAGTGATTTGATAAATATACAAGTTGGACCAAGTGGAAGGCCACGTAAACGTTTTATAGATTTAAGTGAGCGGTCTAAACGTAGATATGTGGAAAACGTAAAAGCAACGACTTCGTCAGAAGAGTTAATTTATGCAGCAAAATCTGTACTGTATACTGAGGGAAAACGTACAGCAGCTGATCTGTTAAAACAATCAACTTTCACCTCTCCCGGGCGCGCTTTAAAAATTAAAAAAACCTACCTTAATGCACAGAAATTTCAAATTACTCCATATAGTGAAGATGAAGCTTTGGCATACATAATTGATAGCCGTATTACAAAAAATGCATATCAACAAACTCGAATAGGTGCAAAACAAAGAGGTGCTAATATTTATCCAAGTTATAAACGGATAATTGAAGCAAAACAACGTTGTTATCCAGAAGGGATAAATGTGAGTGAAGTTAGTGCATCAATACCTTTGCAACAGTTATTAGATCATACAACTAAACGTTTATGTGAAATACTTGATTTTTCTCAGCATGAAAATACTTTTAAAAATTCTGAAAATTGTATAGTAGAGTTTATATTTAAATGGGGTTGTGATGGTAGTTCTGGCCACAGTGAATATCATCAATCTTTTTCAGGAAACGAAATTGAATCAAACATT